CGGCCAGCGGCGGACTGGCCGTGCACTCCCGGCCGCGCCGCTTCTGTACCCGGCAACGGGTTCGCGCGCCGCGCTGACCCCCGCTGACCTCGTGACCTTGGCCGAGCGCCAATGCGGCGGGGCTGGCGGCGACCGCGCGGCTGCCCGGGGGCGCTTAGGTGGCAGTGACGCGGCCACGGGGGTGAGGCGCCACCAGGTCCGGTGCACGAATGGAAGCAGCCTCGGAGCGCTTTGACCCGACATTGGCAGTGTTCAGACGCCCGCGGCGAATTTCCCCTCCCACTCTGAGTGCATCGCGAATGAATTGGTTGCTGACGCCAACTAAAAGTAACCCAAAACTTGGATATATCCGGCCGTACTATACGCAGTCGCACTGATGTACTGATGCACAGTCGTGGTCGTACGCATGATTAGGTATACACACAGCCATGCATATGCACAGTCATACACATACACAGTTTTGTAAATGCATAGAACGACCCAGGAAGGGTTTTGGACCGCGAGGTTCTAATGGCATCACAACCATGTCGAAAATATAGACAGATGCCTCATAAATGTTCTAATGCTTAGAACGATCCATAACGTGCCTTACCCTCCCCCATGCAGCACCATTTTAGAGCATGCTACCAAGGTAACACAGGGTGCGACCGGCCAACGGCAACTCGACTCGGCGTAACTGACCGCACTGAATATTCCTTGTTAGTGTAAGTCGGAGTTGGTCGACCGAAGCACAGCTGAGTCGATATGACGACACTGTGCACCGACAGACTATGGGCGGGCCTGCTGAGCCACACACACAGACGATTGTTCGTCTGTCAAAATACATGCCCAAAGTAAGCTGTTGGGGGACCCACAGACTGGTCTACAACATGACCCGTTGTAACCAACGTCGGGTCATCGAAATCGATTCCAGAATTGGGTCATTCGTTCTTTAGTCGGGGTCGGACCAGGCTCGATAAGTTGTGCTGCGCTGCCCGGTCAACCGCAGGTTTGTTTGATAACGCCAGTTTCTGTTCTCAGCAGTCACGGCACAGCCTCCTTAAGTAATGCCAACATCTGTTGAAGAAGCACTGATCTGTTGCTGCTCATAGCATCCAGCTGATGATGCCGGCTGGTTTGTGCATGTTTGTTTGTGTTTTTTTCGGCGAATCGGCTGCACAGGTCGTTTCACGCCCAGACTGTGTTCCATTCATGCGATCAGTTCTCTGTTGAAAGTGTATCCCAATGAGGAAGCACAGATACTGACTGAGGGATTAAACAGTGGACTATATCACCCGAAGTCCAGCAGCGGATAAAAACTTGACAACACCACTGACGCCAGCACCCGGCGCTTCCCCTATCAGGAACAGCAAAGCTCCATGCCGCCCAAAGTAGCGCAACCTCTCAGCGTTCAGGGATCTGCAGTCCACTAAAGCATGGTGAACAGTCAGTGGGCTCTCGCAACGACCACGCAACGGTGCCTTCCCCCTGGCTCCCGGGGCGAAAGCCGTGTGTACCACAGGTATGTCCTGTGCGCAGGCCGGACCGCTGGCCGGGTGGACGGGGGAGGGACACCGGGAGCCAGGCGGATGGGAGAGGGACACCAGGAGCCGAGCGGACGGGGGAAAGACACCGGGAGCCGGGCGGACGGGGGAGGGACACCGAGAGCCAGGCGGACAGGTGAAGAACACCGAGAGCCAGGCGGACAGGCGAAGGACACCGGGAGCTGGGCGGACCGGGGAGGGACACCGGGAGCCGGGCAAGCAGTGCGCAGTGCAAACCGGATGTGGGTCACGCGCCGCGTCGCACGCGCCGGGCCGACCGCTGGCACGGGACTGTTGGCATTGTCCGCCTTGCACGGGGCGCCGAATATGACCGCGACCGTGAGTGGGGGTTCTGCAGAAATGCGTGTCGCGTTTAGCAGTGACAGCTGCGGAACTCTAACAGTAGGCTGTGGAGGTGTCTATACCTTTCGACTGTGCGTCACGAGTGTTGGACCTGCAGCGCGTATGAATTTCCCCATTTTGCAAGAGGTAGAGTGCCGTATCAATAAAATGCAAATCGTCATAATGCTTGCTGTCAACTGCGTTGAGATTCATTTGAGGACGTGACGAAGGAACGGACGGCATCCAATGTGGACCTCCGCTGAACAAGTCGGCAGTTAAGCCGGGCAATTAAGTCGCCAGTCAAGCCAGGCACTTCGGCCGGGCGGGTAAGCCGGGCAGTTCAACCGGGTAGTTAAGCCAGGCAGTAAAGCCGGGCAGTTAAAGGGAGTGTTCCACATTTGTTTAGGGTTTTGATCTGAAATGGCCATCTTGAAGATCATTCGATACAATTTGCAGTCCTGGACTTCCTGAGACCTAAGCCCTCTAGTTTCTGAGTTTCACGCCCGCGGAGATGTGTAGACTATTTCGGGGAGACTATTTCAAGGTCACTTGGGTATGCATGACTCCATAATAACGGAATTCAAATCCTGCCATTCCATTAGTCATTCGGCGATCAAGGCCAATAAAATATGATTGTCGAGTCGTTCAGTCTGTCATTCGTGAGCGCCATTTCCAGACATAACGGCCGCCAATTAGCTTTCAATCGAAGTTGTACTGGGAACTATGACGTAATCAAACAATAGCATATTGATGCGCATATTTACGAAACAGAGCTACTGTGTTGTCTTGAACAGTCCTTTGTTTTTTTAATATACCAACGGCTATAAGTGAGCTTAATTCATCATACCTGATGCCTGCCTCAATATCTACAAATATGGTACACTTCCTTTGAGCTGAGCAGTTCAGCCGGCAGTTAAGTCGGACAGTTAAGCCGACAGTTAAGTCGAACAGCTATGCCGACAGTTAAGCCTGACAGTTGAGCCACGAAGGCTCTCGTTGAGCAGAACTGCCGACTTCCTGCACCTGATCTGGACATGCCGGAACGTCCAAAGGTCAACAGTCTAGTCCTTTTCAGCAATGACCGACACCACCTAAGCATTTCACGCTGGACTTCCGGTTACACGGCAAAAACGCGTGAGGCGCACTCCAGCCTGTGCAGCCAGCCATTGCGAAAATTTGCGCGGAGAAACCGTTCGGATTATTACAGCGCCAGAAGCTCAGGCGACTTGAGCGCGGAAGGGCGGCAGCAGATAAGGGGAAAACCGGTAACGACTGGACGAGTTATAAATCACCTGGTCCAGACAATGCCGGGAGTTATTCAATTTTTTCGATCGGTTCAATTCTGATCAATTTGTTGCTTTTCCGGGCCATAAACCGGACCTTCTCCGCGAGGCATTATCACCGTTTGCTCAGAGGCCGCAACGCCGCAAAAAGCCCCCAAACCAGTGCCATAAACAAAAGAAGCCGGTTTAGCAAACGAAGAACCCCAAGAACCGTTTGTCTCGTGGAAGGATGATAGATAATCTTCATCATAGCTTCAAGATATGATCACATTTTACACCGATATAGCAATGTCTTGTTTCCCCAAGTAAAAACGAAAAAGCCAGGGTAACACGAACTCTGTCGTCTGGTTGGTTACTGGCGCTCTGATGTACAAATAGGTAACCATTTAGGCCGGCCTTTAAGGCTCAAGTCATTCAACGAATATTTCACCATGTTTTAGCTGTAGTCACTATTTACTTGCGTGCAACGTTTTCTCCGTTACGTCTGGGATACTTCAGGGGTTGGGAGCCAAGTAAACAAAACACTACCAAATCCCAGCATGGACTGCAATGCACAAGGATCGCGCAGGTCGGGGGACGAGCCACACCACTGCTATGTAAATCCATCCTCATGGAAGGCACGCAATGGATGTCGTGGCACGCTGGCTCGGTGGTAAGACGAAATCAACGGCCCTCGTGGTATTGTTCCCCAGTTACCGCCGGCCGCATGAGGTGATGCCGGTGCCAGCTGGATGCACTGACTGGCACTGGATGCCAGCTGCCGACTTGTCTTGCGGGTGATTTCACGCATAATTTTGCATATCATTGTGCTCATTGCCCCCGAATGTCTTGTGGACTTGCAACCACTGCGGCGACTCTGGTGACGGCCGTGCTCTGTCTCTTCGGCGAACCGTGCTCACAGTTAACAAAAAGAGGCCAGTCTGCCCGCCTCGCTGGAAAGAAGCTGCCCGACCGACATCAGCGACCTGCTTTCCACCTCTCCGCCGAACCGTGCCGATTCCCACCCCCACACTGCCGGGGCGCGGTCGGGTCAGACCGAGCCGGACGCGCCGCCCGAGGAAGCGTCCGGGGCCGGCGCTGACCGCCGGCCGGCCCGCCTTCCGTCCGCGCAGTCACCGCCGGACGCGTCCCAGCCGCTTCCCGGCCGCGTGACTCACAGCCGGCGTTCTGGCAAAAACCCGCTGCGCAACACGCAGCTGATGCATACGCTACGCGCAGCGCTGGAAGTGGGGCGGCGAGCGGCCCGCCGATGGATAGCATCCGCTGGCGGCTCCGGCCCACACACCCAGCGCCAATAAACAATAAACTGAATTGAACAGGCCCGGGAAAACCGCGGTGTGTCGCAATGTTCCAGCGAATCGCGCGAGTACCGCTCGCTGCATCGGCCGGCCGCGGCCGCGGCAATCGGCTGATTTGAGCCGGGGGGGGGGGGGAGGGGGGGAGAGGGCAGCCCGACACTGCAGCCCAGCGGCCGTCTCGGCGGCGGTGCAGCGAGCGCGAGGCGCAGTCCGGTGTCCGGCTGCCCAACGACGGAAGTCCGGGGCTGCTGACATCAGGTGCCCGACAAAACAGCTGCACTTCGACATGGCAATGGGCCACCTACAAGGCCAATTCGGTTCAACCTCCCTGCCCAGCCACCAGCACAGGGTCATCCTCTCCGTTAGCTGGGCCACGTGGCGTCCACTTGCCAAGTGTGTTTGCAACGGTCGGCCAGGCCGCTGTAATAATCCGACTGTCGTATGTGTAGCAAAGGCATCTGAAGGATCATCATGTGGCAAATGATGTGGAGACGTCACGGGCGAGTTCCACCATTACACTCCGGCTCGACTCATCATCACAGGAAATAGCCTGGTTTACTGTTGATGATGGTGTATTCGCTTCCCATGCCCCGTGAATGAGTGGATGAACGGAAGCGTTGAAACGAAAAACAAAATGAGCGTGCACTTCTCCCGCGCCGTGCGGGAATCCCTCTCACTCACATCGTCCATACTGTACTATTTGCACACGTCCCCACGGCCGCGCGACTGATCGTAAAGCCTGTAACAAGCGTCCTCCCGCCGCGGGTACTGGCGACGAACCGGGCACGATGTGCAGACCCGGGCACTACCCCGGCCGGCGGTGCCTCGTCCGCGGCAGCGGCGACGGCGGCCCGGTCCACATCAGGCCCCTCCGCCGTCCGCGCCCGGCGCCTCGAGCGGCTCTCTGGCACCGAGAGCCCGCTCAGCCGCGGCGTTTGCCGGCGCGGCGCGTGTCGGCCGCCGCGCCACCCGCCGCCGCCGCCATCGCCTGCTCGTGCAGCTCCACCAGGCGCGCCTGCACGTCCGGCGTGGTCGGCACGTACCGGGCATACTCCATGCTGAATTCGCCCTTGCCCTGCGTGCCCGAGCGCAGCTCGGTGGCGTAACCGAACATCTTGTTGAGAGGCACCTGGCGACGGGAAAGGGGGGGGGGGGCGGAGGAAGGCGTTAGCTAGCACCGCGAAACGTCATAAAATGCATCATGAGCGCGGCAGGGGCAGCTTCACACGCCATGCTGCCACTTCGGCCGAGCAAGACGGCTGCGATAAATAGCTTGAGTCGAGTCTCTTGGAAGTCTACATTCTCATTGCGCAGAAAACACGAGCACTTCACAGACACAAACACTTTCCCGTCCTTACTCTCCTTCACGCCTGCATCCCCGCATCTCGACATCTGGAACACCACCGCACCACCTAGCTTCAGGATAGAACCTACACGCGCGGAGGACTGAGCACAGCGTGGACGGGCGGCGCGGACACACCTCAGCGAAGACAGTGAACCAGCCCTCGTTGCTGTCCTGGCCGAGAACGACCCCCGCGCGCCGGTTCAGCTGACCCATCACCGCGCTCTGGAACTCAGCCGGCGCCGACACCTCCACAGACATCATCGGCTCCAGCACCTGCCAGTGGCCGCTGGCGTACGCTGTGGACAGCAGTAAAGGGCGTCTGTCAGGCCGGGCCAGGTCAGGTCAGGTCAGGTCAGGTCAGGTCAGGTCAGGTCAGGTCAGGTCCGGTCAGGTCAGCAGGCACAGCCCTGACAGCTGTCGCACAATGCGGGGGTCGGGTCAGGTTGGCGGGCGTGGCAACGGTCTCCGGCACAAATCGCGGGGGGAGGGGGCGCAGGTCAGGTGTCAGGTCAGGTCACCTGGTCCCCGCTGGCCGTTGGCATGTACTACGGGGGCGAGCGACTGATCGGGTCAGGTACCCCAGCACAAGTCACCGACCCCAGACTACGGGGCGCAAGCGAGGTAAGACTCCGCACCAGGAACCGGGTGCTGACGTCCTCTACGGGATCAGGCCACGTGACCGTGTTGCCGTAAAAAAAGGAACATAAAGCCAGACCGCAAACCGCATCGCTCACAACTCGGCATAATTCGCGGCACCCCGGCCATTCGCGGCGAGCCGGTGCACCAGGAAGTCACCCCGTGCTAACCGGTACACGGGACCAGCACGCAGCGCCGCCCCGATCGACGCGCAGGTCACAGAGAACCGACCACACAGCAAGGGTGGGCAGGCTGGATTGGCCCGGCTGGGACCAGTGACCCGACGACCCGGCCCGGTCGGACGCCGAGGGGAATCCCACGGACGCAGATAACCCATCGCCGCTCAGCAGCGCCACGCGGCGACAAAACGACCGCAAACCACACGTCCGGACATCAAATGTTCCGTTTGGGGTCGACTCCATTCCCGCTGGGAAGCGCCGGAAAGCCAAGTGTCAAGGTCGCTGTTAACGAGACGATGGGATGCGAGCTGACAGGACTCCAGCCCGCTAAAGCTAAGTTGAGTGCTTCCGCTCATCACGCAGCATCAGAGCGTCTGCCTTTTCTCAAGCCGCACGAACTCCTGCAAAATCCCGCACACTGCGCTGACGGCTAAGCTCCGGCTCACGTGTAACGACAAAGCTCTGTATTACATTCACGCCCGCCCGATAACCCGTTATGATTAGCATTTCCGGGCTGTAAGCCGGCCGGGAAGCAGACGGGTCCGCGTCCGTGCCCTGCCAGCTAAGAGATACCAGTCCATCTCTCCCAGAAGGCCGGCTGCGCCGTTACATGGTCGTTACATGGTTACATGGTTACATGTGCCGTTACATAGTCACTGAAGCCCGGCGAGGTCCGGATCAGCGTAGGTCGGTGCCGAGCCGCGTGCGGCTGCCGACAACCCAGACAGAGTCAAATGTGATGGCACGGGATCAGGTGGGTGCTTTGGTTATGCAATCCACGCTGGGGTTATAAGCCAGCAATGCGATAGACGAAAAGAACGTCTTATTGGCGGTCATAGCCCTTGCTGAGGTCGAGAGGACGAGCTGATGTTAGCGTTATGTTTGAGAAGAGGTGTTAGCACGATGAACTAAATATTTAGGTTATGTCGCCATCGTCGACGCCGCAGCGAAACACTGTGTGGAATCTTTATCGCAGCACACAACTGGAAACGTTTGATGTGCAGCAATGTACGGCCCTCAGGGCCCTTCGGAATAACTCACAGGTGCCAGCGGCCTTGAGAAATGAGCGCAAAAGCAGGGACAAATCAACAACAGTGACAGGGACAACATCCACAAAACTACCAAATTTCGACTTGCACCAAATTCTGCCGATGAAATGGGATTACGCGACCATATGGTAAGTTGCTGTTGTTTCGATTCATGCTCGGATTGCTGTTGTTTCGATTCATACTCGGATTGCTGTGTTTCGATTCATGCTCGGATTGCTGTGCTTCGATTCATGCTCGGATTGCTGTTGCTTCGATTCATACTCGGATTGCTGTTGTCTCGATTCATGCTCGGATTGCTGTTGTTTCGATTCATGCTCGGATTGCTGTTGTTTCGATTCATACTAGGATTGCTGTTGTTTCGATTCATGCTCGGCGTATGTCGCTTCCGGCCCGTCAGTCCCACATTAACTTCGAGCCGTGCCCGAAGAACATACGACCTCAGGGATGCGGCGCGCCGACCCGCAGCCTCGCGCGCCAGGTGGACGCGGTCCGCCCTGACCTCCCAGGGCGCCAGCTGCACCTCAGACGCCAACGCGAGTCGACACCGAGACGGGTCTACGAACACCCCACATTGGCAGCGAACTGACCTGACTCCGAAGGGGCCCCACGTGACCCACATCGCCGTAACAGGACCTGACGCCACCATGGGTTGCAAGATAGATCACCTCATTGGCACCACCAACAGTGCCAGAAAAGGGTCCCGTGAAAGCCTCTGGCAGGAATCGAACGCAGGCCATTCGATTTCAAACCTTTACCGAAACGAAACCCAGCAGCCCACGACCGTTCGCGTCGCTCACCTCTGCAGCCCCCTTCCGCCGCCGGGTGAGGGCGGTAGCGACCAACTACGTGACGACACGAGCATCCTCTTTCTCACTGTCGTGCACAATTCAGTGCATCAGCCATTTCCGTGGACGACGTTAAAACTTACGAGACGTTGACACCCAGACGGTGAACGGACGTGGACTGACAGATCTTCGCATACACGGTCCGGCAGACAACAGTCTGATTGAAAACTGATCGTCACTTACACGACCATCATACACAACCAAAAATCAATCCCACTATGCTTGCAGGCGGGGGCGCAGTTTCCTTTTCAGTTAGAGGGGGAGGGGCAGGCCCCAAACTTTGGCTCCAGTTCCAAGTTTGAGAAGAAAACGGACCAAGTCGGGGAGAAACCTGTTTGTTGGCTTATTTCGAGGGTAAGTTTCTTCATATTTCACTTCCCAGGTCCCCAAAAGTCATTTTGCGACATTATCCCGCCGCTTGCTGGATACCGCCAAGGCCGCTTCACAGTATACAGCCATGATTTTCCACTACACACACCGGCGGCCGCTTAAGCGCGTGCCCCCCCCCCCCCCCCCCAGCGCCGACAAAGGTGTCTGCGCGACATCTGCCGGCGCCGGGTCCAAACGTGACCGGTCGAGCGACGGGTCAGTGTGCCGGTCCCCCACCTGACATGACCTGACCTGCACCGCAGCTCACCGGCCGTCCAGTCGTGACCCTAGACCGCCCCGCACCCGTCGGCAAGCGCTGCTCCCGCGGCCCCGACCGGAACGGACCTCAAGCCGGTCCCCGCCCCACCTACCTGACCTGCACGGCAGCTCACCGGCCGTCCAGTCGTGACTCTAGACCGCTCCGCACCCGTCGGCAGGCGTTGCTCTCGCGGCCCCGACCGGAACGGACTTCAAGCCGGTCCCCACCCCACCTGACCTGACCTGCACGGCAGCTCACCGGCCGTCCAGTCGTGACCCTAGACCGCCCCGCACCCGTCGGCAAGCGCTGCTCCCGCGGCCCCGACCGGAACGGAACTCAAGCCGGTCCCCACCCCACCTGACCTGACCTGCACCACGGCCCACCGGCCGTCCAGTCGTGACCCTAGACCGCCCCGCACCCGTCGGCAGGCGCTGCTCCCGCGTCCCCAACCGGGACGGAACTCAAGCCGGACCTCAGCAGCTGCCTGCAGCTGCGCGTGTGCTCGCGCTTACATACACCTCCACAAAACAGGTAGCCCTTCTTGCCAAACCTGACGGCTGGTCAGCGCAGACAGCAGCAGCTCTGGACGACCGCTGGCTTCACACTGCAGGGACACACCCAGGATTTCATGCGGGGGGAGGGGGGGGGGGAGCAATCCAAACCCATCCTCGTGGGTAGGCCAAAATGCTGTAAAAATCGTTCCACGATATACTTCTGCAGAAACGCTTAGAACGTCTCAAGAAAACACGCGCCTGCGCACGCCCCTTTTCCCTGTTTTTCCTGTGTCCCCTGTGCATGTCCACGTCCCCTTTACACGCGCCCCTGCCCGCAGCAGGTGACCGGCGCCACTGACCCTCCTTGACGGCGCCCTGGCCGGCCAGGATGAAGGCGATCTCGTTGGAGTCGACCGCGTGGCTGGCGCCGTCCAGCAGTCGGAAGCGCACGCCCGAGATCTTGTGACCTGTCGGGGTCACGCGGACCGGTCAGCAGGCGGTCGGCGGTCACCTCACCCCGCCCCTCCCCACCCGCGGCGTGGCCGGCCGCCGGCGGCGCAAGATTCCAAGCGACGGTGAAGTTAGACACCGTCCCTGCCTGCACCATGTTTTTTTTTAGTCAGCCAGTGAAGGCAAGACAAGACTACATGACACAATATCCAAGTAGTCTTCATCCAATCATTCACTTCGACAGCTGCACACATTGATGCAAAATATTTGTACACAGGTGCAAACTGATAAATGCATATGGATTGCGAGCATTGCGGCAGACCTACCAGTTAGGGCGCCTTTCTCCGTCATGTTCATGAATCCCTTTTTGATGGCAGGAATGAATTGCTTGGGCACGTTGGTGCCCATTGTCTGGTCCACAAACTCCAGCTTGGTGTTTTCGGAGGCTGGCAGGGGCTGCAGCAAGGCACACTCGCATGAAATCCGCGTCAGGGAATCCGCCAGACGACCCAAGACGAGCACGTGCAAGGCCCCGTGAATCACATGAAATCGGATCAACGGTTCAAACGTCATGCGTTTGCGGCTATCCGAGTTGACACCGGCTAGTGATGCAGTTTCAAGCATGGCCACGGGACTGCACCGCTCGAGGAACAGGCTTGAGACAGGGAGTCGTGTCCACCGCGTCACATTCTCGCATCGTCCTCAGGCCCGTCACGTGAGTGTCGCAGTTCTTCCAGCAGCCAACCCAGCTGCCAACCCTTGCTTGCAACCTCAATGATGCGCCACTAAGTTACACTTTCCAGCTGAACCAGATAATTCCAAGGCAGGTTACATCCACCTTACACCACCATGTGATGGATCACCTTCAGGTTATAAATGATGTCAGTTTCCTCCACATTGCGCCTAAATGCATGAAAACACAGATCCGTATGATCTCGGTGGGCACTGTAAACGCCCGCCTACCTCCAGCACGCCCAGGACCCGACCGTACTGGCCGGCGCCGCCCGACTGCTTCTTGTGCTGGTAGTCGAATGAGCACGGTTCCAGCAGCGTCTCCCTGAAGGCCACCTTCGGCTGGCCCATCACCACCGGGCAGTTGTACTCCCCGCTCCATTCGCTGCAACCGTGGCAGCGCGGATCAGCGGCCGGAGACAGACCCAGGTGAGCTCCACGGGTCCAGGGACATACACAGGTCAGACCCCCCGGATCTGAGGACAAACCCAGGTAAGACCCGCGTTCGCTGACACGCAGGTCGGCCCCCCGGATCTGGGAACACTCAGGTGAGCCCTCTGGGGCGGTGACATACACAGGTCCCCCAGGTCCGGGAGTAGACACAGGTCAGCCCAGGGAACTGAGCTGTGGAACCCGTCGCATGTTACATCTGGTTAACCTGTACTCCGCGCTCACCCCAGCGGCACCGTTGTAGAGTCTGCCGCCAGGCAGCGCCACCGCCGCTCACCTGGGCGTAGATGTCCAGGTGCAGTTCGCCCATGCCAGCCGCAATCGTCTCCTTGGAGTCGTCGTCATACATGATCTTGTACGTGGGATCCTCGCGGGTAAACCTGCCGCGCATGGGACAGCACCTCATCGGGACCGGCCGCACCTGCGATCCGCGCATGGGGCAGCACCTCATCAGGACCGGCCGCACCTGCGACCCGCGCATGGAACAGCACCCCCTCAGGACCGGCCACACCTGCGACCCGCGCATGGGACAGCACCCCATCAGGACCGGCCACACCTGCGATCCGCGCATGGGACACAGCACCCCATCAGGACCGGCCACACCTGCGACGCACCCGGAGCGACGCCTCCGGCGGGCTCGCTCAGCATCCGACAGGGAAACACGTGCGACGGTCCCGCCCTCCGATTATACGTGAAAGGAACAAGCTAGACGTTCCAAAGGGGTGCGCATACAGTGCCGATCTGCACCAATTACCCGACACATAGAAGCTCGACCCTCCACCGGCGGCCAAGCCCGGGCTGACCTGTTGACGGCTTTGCCGAAGTTCTCGACGTCCTTGCTGTTCTTGGGCTTGATGGACATCGATATGACGGGGTCCGGCACGAAGATGGACTCCTACGGCGGGGAGAGGGGAGGGGGGTGAAGCTGGCTGGTCCGAACCAGGCCCGGCCCGGCCCGGCTTGGCGCCACTGCTCGCCCGCGCAGCCAGCCAGCGTAGCCCGACACCCCACTGGTGCGCATGTGATGGGGGACCAATGATCACCGTAGCGCATTACTTGCAGCGATCTAGCCACCGAGAACTGAGTATGGCGCGTGGCTTCTGCATGGTGTTTACCGGGTGTTCAACTACGTGTGACATGGATGTGACCCCTCCCTGTCCAGGTGACACGTGGCGTCACTCCGACACCCGGACGCCAAACTGCCCTACACACCTCTGACACCGCGATACCCAATTGGCCCTACACACTCTGACACCACCGCGATACCCACTGCCCTACCACACTCTGACACCGCGACACCCAATTGCCCTACACACTGACACCGCGACACCTAACGTGCCCTACTTCCTCCTCGACACGCAATAACCCTCGCTTTATCGTCAGTGGACAAGACAAACGCTGCTCTCAAGAGCGATGCAGCCCGCCATTCTGGCCGCCAAGGTCGTGATGAGCTGAGACGGCTGTTGTCACGAGCCGTCCGCTGGGAGTCTCTCCAGCAGGCAGCAGCGCAGCCCTGGCGACCGGCCACCGACTCCCGCAGCCTCCCCGGCGGCCGGCCGCCCACTTTCGCAGCCTTCCCGGCCGCCCACCCCCGCAGGCCTCCCCGTAGGCTGGGCCACCCACTCCCGCAGCCTTCCAGCCGCCGGCCGCCAATTCCCGCAGCCTCCCCGGCAGCTGGCCACCCGCTCCCGCAGCCTCCCCGGCAGCTGGCCACCCCCCACTCCCGCAGCCTCCCCGGCCGCCGGCGGCCACGCACCATGGACAGGTTCAGCCGGGCGTCTGAGACGAAGGAGTCTCCGGAGGCGCAATCGACGCCGAAGAGGGCGAATATGTCGCCGGCGAAACCCTCGTCCACAGTCCTCCAGCTGGTCAGAGTGGCAGCCGCACCAGGCGGGCCACGCGCACCTGAGGTACGACGGCGCCGGTTCGAAGCCTGGCTGACGGCTCAACTTTCCAACGCGGCGGGGCGACGGACGCACACGTACAATACGTGGACCGGGCGCAACCCGCTGGAACCGGCCACGACGGTGCGTCAGACCGCACCCAGGCCATCACCCGACCACCTCCTGCCCAGCCGCACAGCACCCAGCTAGCGTCAGCTGAGGGCAGCCGGTTCAGTCCGCATGACACATTGCCCCGGACAGCGAGGAGACACCAACTTCATCAGACAGCAACACAACGTGCAACGGCGTCAGACATCCCCGCGCGGGCCTCCTCCACCGCGCTCTCGTCAGACGCCTGACCACTTAACCCGGTACATGTCCACCCGCCATCGAGAGGACCGGCCTCAGCGGGGCGACTCAGCGCCCGCACCGGCGGCACCCACCGCTCCAGCCGCACCTTTTTGCCGTTGCGGGTGTTGAAGATGATCTCGCCCTTGGCCAGACGGCCCTGGTAGCAGCGCAGGTACGTCAGCTGGCCGAACCTGCCCGCCTCCAGCTTGAACGCCAGCGAGACGAACGGGTGCGAGCTGTCGCGCAGCGGGCTCATCCGGACCTGCTTCGGCTTACCCTCCGGCCTGCGGTCAGGCCGCTCACGGTCAGCGGCTGCAGCGGATGTCCTCGAAAGCCGTGTCGCGGCCAATGGCCTTTGTGCTGATAGCCAAGCCGACAGCAGAACTGTGTGCACGCCTCCACTACCAAGGCCGCATAATATTGGGGATAGGGACACTAAACACGTGAGACGGGATGCTGAGCACAGGTTAGGACGTTAAGTATTAAGTATTGGCAATGTTTGCTCGATAACATTGTTTCACGAGTACCTCCCGGCTTCTTGAACGTCGATAACCTTGAAGGTCAATCTTGCCAGAATAAAAACTCTAGACTCACAGCCTCCAAAAACAAGAGCCGAAAGCCTTTTTCCTTCCACCAAGTGCAAGTAAAGGGTAGACCAGGATAGGACACTGCATTACGACAAATACGAACTCCAGACATCGCATTCGGCGCCCTGATTCTCACCACACCTCGCGCCGCCCGCACCGCGCGCTGTCGCAGCCCGTCTGCCCCGCCGTGCCCCACTCACGTGAGGACGGTCTCGTCGAGCGCAAAGTTCTCCACCTGGGCCGGGTTGGGCAGGTACGCGAGCACGCCGTCCAGCAGCGGCTGCACGCCGCGGGTTCTTGAGCGCCGTACCCATCATGACGGGCGTGAACTGGCGGGCGAGCGTGGCGCCGCACGGCCGCCGCCAGCTGCTGCTCCGACGGCGTCTGCTCCTCTGCCAGCCAGGTCAGAGGTCAG